CTGCTGCCAGGGCCACCACCTCTGCCAATGCTTCCATCGCCCGTGCCTGCTGCCAGGGCCACCACCTCTGCCAATGCTTCCATCGCCCGTGCCTGCTGCCAGGGCCACCACCTCTGCCAATGCTTCCATCGCCCGTGCCTGCTGCCAGGGCCACCACCTCTGCCAATGCTTCCATCGCCCGTGCCTGCTGCCAGGGCCACCACCTCTGCCAATGCTTCCATCGCCCGTGCTGCTGCCAGGGCCACCAGCTCTGGCAATGCTTTCATCGCCCGTGCCTGCTGCCGCTGCCGCTGCCCTGCTGCTCAGCCCCCACGGTGTCGTCAGTAGAATGCGCATCGGCCAATGGGGGAGAGAGAGCAGACCACATACTGCCATTAATGTACTTACTTGCATGTGCCATAACAGCCAGCTAGCTAGCAACCTCCATAGGAATACAATCGCCTCTGCTAGCTGGATGTGCTCAGCTGAAACTTGGTTTGCTCATCGCCTGCAATGCAATGGACTCGGAATCGCCACGTTGTAGATTCGTCCCAAATGACCTTGTATCTCAACTAGTTCAGTTCAGCCTGTTTGGCTACTATGATTGACAGTGGCGTCTCTCTCGTTTCCGTTTAGCTGTTCTGTGCCTCTCATGTCCTCTCGTTTCTGTTTAGCTGTTGTGTGCCTCTCATGTCCTCTCGTTTCTGTTTAGCTGTTCTGTGCCTCTCATGTCCTCTCGTTTCTGTTTAGCTGTTCTGTGCCTCTCATGTCCTCTCGTTTCTGTTTAGCTGTTCTGTGCCTCTCATGTCCTCTCGTTTCTGTTTAGCTGTTCTGTGCCTCTCATGTCCTCTCGTTTCTGTTTAGCTGTTCTGTGCCTCTCATGTCTCTCGTTTCTGTTTAGCTGTCTGTGCCTCTCATGTCCTCTCGTTTCTGTTTAGCTGTTCTGTGCCTCTCATGTCCTCTCGTTTTCTGTTTAGCTGTTCTGTGCCTCTCATGTCCTCTCGTTTCTGTTTAGCTGTTCTGTCCTCTCGTTTCTGTTAGATGTTGCCTCTCATGTCTCTCGTCGTTTAGCTGTTCTGTGCCTCTCATGTCCTCTCGTTTCTGTTAGCTGTTCTGTGCCTCTCATGTCCTCTCGTTTCTGTTTAGCTGTTCTGTGCCTCTCATGTCCTCTCGTTTCTGTTTAGCTGTTCTGTGCCTCTCATGTCCTCTCTTTGCCATTGTCTTCCGACCTGACCTGCCCTCCGCACTCATCGTGCTCCTCCCCACACCAACTCTGGCTCTTTCACGTTATGGTCCCAGTCTTTCCCTTTCTTCGTGTGCTCGTTGCTTTCTTCACCGAGTATCACTCATTCCCCTCGCATCCATTCACTCATGCACCCTCGCATCCATTCACTCATGCACCCTCGCATCGCATCCATTCACTCCCCATTGAATCCCACTCACTTCATCGTCACCATCCTAATCCGCCACACATCTGCAACACCCCCACACAACACCTCACCGCTGCTGCTCCGTGTGTTTGCATGTGGGTGTTTCTGGTTGTGTGCATTCATGTGTGCATCCGTGTGCGTATGTGCGCATGTGAGTGTGCGTCCACGTGTGCATGTGTGCGTGCGTGCGTGTCATGTGTGCGTGCATGCATGTGAGGGTGCAGCACGCAAGGAGGAGTTGGAGAAGCAGGAGGAGAGGGAGAAGGCGTGGAGGGCGAGGTTGGAGAGGGAGCAGCGCGCCAGGGACGCCCTTGTGGCGCACACCCGCCCTGTGAGAACCGCTGCTGCTGCTGCTCACACTGGTGGCGGCGATGGTGATGGTGGGGAGAGTGCGGTTGCTTGGGACGGGAAGGTGCCAGCAGAGGCAGAGGAGTCGTGGAACGGCGCAGATGTGGCTGGCGGAGCCCATGGGGCAGCTGGGGCAGTTGGTGGGGATGGTGCAGATGGTGCAGATGGTGCAGATGGTGCAGATGGTGCAGATGGTGCAGATGGTGCAGATGGTGCAGATGGTGCAGATGGTGCAGATGGTGCAGATGGTGCAGATGGTGCAGATGGTGCAGATGGTGCAGATGGTGCAGATGGTGCAGATGGTGCAGATGGTGCAGATGGTGCAGATGGTCCGGACAGTGGTGTGACGGGCACAGAAGTGAGGAGAGAGATCAAGGCGAGGAGGGTGCAGCAGGGGGCGAGGGGGAAGAAGGAAGTGAGGATTGTCTGCGTCTGTCCAAGGAGGAGATGGGGCGGCGGATTGCGTCCCGATGGACTGGGGGGGGGGAGGGAGGGCAGCAGCACGAGGAGCACAGCGGGCATGCGGCAGAGCAAGGTGTGGCGGATGAGGGCTCGCCACCCCCTGATGTGGGCTATGGTGATCCGGATGTGGTGCAGAGCGGTGATGATGATCATGACGGCGACCATGACTATAGTGGCAATGACGACGATGAGTACAAGGAGGATGCTAATAACGAGGATGAGGACTACAGCAAGGATGAGGAGGTTGGGGATGGGGATGGGGATGGGGATGGGGATGGGGATGCGGATGGGGATGGGGATGGGGGATGGGGATGCGGATGGGGATGGGGATGCAAGCATGAGGGGGAGGAGGAGGCAGCGGATTTGGAGCAAGAGATGGGGGGAGGGGAGGCGGATAAGGGCAAGGGAGGGGCAAGGGGGATGGAGGGGGAGGGGAGGAGGAGGATGGGGAGGAGGGCGAGGTGAGTGTGGAGGAGTTGAGGCGGCTGGAGGAGTTCAACCCACATGACCCACCAGGTGAGATGACACGGGGGGTGAGATGACCCACCAGGTGAGATGACACGGGGGGTGAGATGACCCACCAGGTGAGATGACACGGGGGGTGAGATGACCCGCCAGGTGAGATGACACGGGGGGTGAGATGACCCACCAGGTGAGATGACACGGGGGGTGAGATGACCCGCCAGGTGAGATGACACGGGGGGTGAGATGACCCACCAGGTGAGATGACACGGGGGTGAGATGACCCGCCAGGTGAGATGACACGGGGGGTGAGATGACCCACCAGGTGAGATGACACGGGGGGTGAGATGACCCGCCAGGTGAGATGACACGGGGGGTGAGATGACCCACCAGGTGAGATGACACGGGGGCTGAGATGACCCGCCAGGTGAGATGACACGGGGGGTGAGATGACCCGCCAGGTGAGATGACACGGTGGGTGAGATGACCCACCAGGTGAGATGACACGGGGGGTGAGATGACCCGCCAGGTGAGATGACACGGGGGGTGAGATGACCCACCAGGTGAGATGACACGGGGGGTGAGATGACCCGCCAGGTGAGATGACACGGGGGGTGAGATGACCCACCAGGTGAGATGACACGGGGGGTGAGATGACCCGCCAGGTGAGATGACACGGGGGGTGAGATGACCCGCCAGGTGAGATGACACGGTGGGTGAGATGACACGGTGGGTGAGACTAGCTTTGCAGATATCATCGTTATCATCTCCTGATTTCATCATTCCTTTGCTTTCACATGCATACACCTGCTTTCCAACCATTCTCTCTCAAAATTCTCATTTCCCATTCCACTGTGCCGCCCATCCAGCCGTGACACCTGTCAGTGTCTGGTTGGCTCGCGCGCTCCGCTGGCCCATGGAGGTGTGTGCGCGGCTCTACTCCCTCGCCGTCCCCACGCCACCCCTCACCCACAATGCCTCTCGTGAGTGCCACCCCACGGCATGCATGGCAACATGGCAGCATGGCAACATGGCAGCATGGCAACATGGCAGCATGGCAGCATGGCAACATGGCAGCATGGCAACATGGCAGCATGGCAGCATGGCAGCATGGCAGCATGGCAGCATGGCAGCATGGCAGCATGGCAGCATGGCAATGGCAGCATGGCAACATGGCAGCATGGCAACATGGCAGCATGGCAGCATGGCAGCATGGCAGCATGGCAGCATGGCAGCATGGCAGCATGGCAGCATGGCAGCATGGCAGCATGGCAGCATGGCAGCATGGCAGCATGGCAGCATGGCAGCATGGCAGCCATGGCAGCATGGCAGCATGGCAGCATGGCAGCATGGCAGCATGGCAGCATGGCAACATGGCAGCATGGCAGCATGGCAGCATGGCAGCATGGCAGCATGGCAGCATGGCAGCATGGCAGCATGGCAGCATGGCAGCATGGCAGCATGGCAGCATGGCAACATGGCAGCATGGCAGCATGGCAGCATGGCAGCATGGCAGCATGGCAACATGGCAGCATGGCAGCATGGCAGCATGGCAGCATGGCAGCATGGCAGCATGGCAGCATGAGTGCATGGCATGGCGTGCACATGGGTGGCACCGATGCACGCCGTGCAACATAGTGCTTGTGAACATGGCTCCCACCCTGAACCCACACGACACAAGCTTCATTCCATCTTTGACCGTGTGTGGAGTGGAGGGTGCAGCATGTTTGCCTAGGTTGAAGCACACCAGTCCACTTCTGTCTTTGCAAGTGCATGCAACTATATCGTTTTTGTTGGCTTGATTGATGCTGTGTGTGTGTGTGTGTGTGTGTGTGTGTGTGTGTGTGCGTGTGCATGCGTGCGTGCGTGCGTGCGTGTGTGTGTATGTGTGGTTTTGTGTGGTTTTGTGTGTGTATGTGTGTGTGTGTGTGTGTGTGTGTGTGTGTGTGTGTGTGGTTTTGTGTGTTCTGCTGCATCTATGTGCGTGCATGCATGTGCATGTGTGTGCGCGCCCCCACATCGCCACCACACGCCACCAGGGGTGGAGGCAGCGCGGGAGGAGCACAGGGAGGTGGAGGAGCAGGTGCGGAGGGCGAGGAGCCGGGCCAAGGTGCTCAAGGACAAGCTCAAGCGCGACTATGGTCAGTTGTGTTGTCACGCGCGTGCGAGGGGTTTGAGGGGCGTGAGAAAGGGTGAGGGGCGTGAGAAAGGGTGAGGGGCGTGAGAAGGGGCAATGGGCATGGGAGATGCGCTTGAGGTGGGAGCGCTGGTATTCTTTGTGCAACGCACGCATGCATGTGGTAGCCCGGGCCTCGTCCCCATGCCCCCCCCCCACCTGGGCTGCCCACTATCTGCTGCTGCTTCATCCCTCTGCCTAATTATAGTATGTTCCACTGTACACAGTCGTCCTTGTTTCCGTTCTCCTAGCCTTTTACTCGGCATTCAGGACGCGGATGCGTAGGGAAGTGGATCCAGACGGTCAAGACAGTTCTATTTCAATCCCACTCGTCGTGCCCCTCCGCATCACTTATTGCCCTTGAATCCCCATCACTCGTCCCTCATCCCTGTGTGCCCCTCGCAGGGCCGCACGGGGAGTTCTCCAACCTCGTGGACCGCTGCTTCGCCTTCAACGCCAACCAGTGAGACGCCCTCCCCTTGCCTCTCCATCCACCGCACCCACTCTCTCTCTACTCCCCATGCCCGCCTTGCATGCCTGCCTTGCATGCCTGCCTTGCATGCCTGCCTTGCATGCCTGCCTTGCATGCCTCCCCTACGTGTGCTTTGCTCTGCCTTCTTCGCGGGTCACTTTCCCACTTGTTTCAAACTGTTCCTCCATCGCACGCCTGCACTTGCTTGCTGCTGCGCACACCTTGTTTCCACCCTTGTGTTCTTGCCCGGGGGCACTGGGTGGAGCAGGTACACGTATGAGATCTGCCCGTACAAGAAGGCGGTGCAGAAGGAAGGCCACTCCGAGACGACTCTTGGGTGAGTCACCCTGATGGCACGATGGCATGATGGCACCATGGCATGATGGCTGCATCCAGTGCTGGGAGCATGGTGGCATTTGGATGTGTGGGGGTGATAGGAGATGACAATGAATCAAGGGGTGGAAGGCTGGTAGACACCATGGGTATCAGAGCGAGACGTTCTGATAACGAGCGTTCTGTTGCCAAACTCTTCATTACAGTGTTCATCCCATATCCCTCTTCCACTTTTACCTTCCCTCCTCTCTTCGCGCACCCTTCCCTGCCCCCCTCTTCGCCCAACCCCTCCTTGGACCCCCACTGAACTGTGTGTGGTGTGGCATGGCAGGCGGGCGGGCAGGCACTTCAAGCGGTTTGAGGCGGAGCACACAGTCATGGCGTTTGAAGATGGCGAGCACTGCTGGAACGGACCGCCCAGGAGCATCAAGGTGAATACGTGAGAGCACTTGAGCTTCATTGTGATAATGTGAGCATCAAGGAGAGCAGCAATGCATCACTCCCTCATCATGAAGGAGAGCAGCAATGCATCACTCCCTCATCATGAAGGAGAGCAGCAATTCATCACTCCCTCATCATGAAGGAGAGCAGCAATGCATCACTCCCTCATCATGAAGGAGAGCAGCAATGCATCACTCCCTCATCATGAAGGAGAGCAGCAATTCATCACTCCCTCATCATGAAGGAGAGCAGCAATGCATCACTCCCTCATCATGAAGGAGAGCAGCAATGCACCACTCCCTCATCATGAAGGAGAGCAGCAATGCATCACTCCCTCATCATGAAGGAGAGCAGCAATGCATCACTCCCTCATCATGAAGGAGAGCAGCAATGCATCACTCCCTCATCATGAAGGAGAGCAGCAATGCATCACTCCCTCATCATGAAGGAGAGCAGCAATGCATCACTCCCTCATCATGAAGGAGAGCAGCAATGCATCACTCCCTCATCATGAAGGAGAGCAGCAATGCATCACTCCCCTCATCATGAAGGAGAGCAGCAATGCATCACTCTCCCTCATCATGAAGGAGAGCAGCAATGCATCACTCCCTCATCATGAAGGAGAGCAGCAATGCATCACTCCCTCATCATGAAGGAGAGCAGCAATGCATCACTCCCTCATCATGAAGGAGAGCAGCAATGCATCACTCCCTCATCATGAAGGAGAGAAGCAATGCATCACTCCCTCATCATGAAGGAGAGCAGCAATGCATCACTCCCTCATCATGAAGGAGAGCAGCAATGCATCACTCCCTCATCATGAAGGAGAGCAGCAATGCATCACTCCCTCATCATGAAGGAGAGCAGCAATGCATCACTCCCTCATCATGAAGGAGAGCAGCAATGCATCACTCCCTCATCATGAAGGAGAGGAGCAATGCATCACTCCCTCATCATGAAGGAGAGCAGCAATGCATCACTCCCTCATCATGAAGGAGAGCAGCAATGCATCACTCCCTCATCATGAAGGAGAGCAGCAATGCATCACTCCCTCATCATGAAGGAGAGCAGCAATGCATCACCCCCTCATCATGAAGGAGAGCAGCAATGCATCACTCCCTCATCATGAAGGAGAGCAGCAATGCATCACTCCCTCATCATGAAGGAGAGCAGCAATGCATCACTCCCTCATCATGAAGGAGAGCAGCAATGCATCACTCCCTCATCATGAAGGAGAGCAGCAATGCATCACTCCCTCATCATGAAGGAGAGCAGCAATGCATCACTCCCTCATCATGAAGGAGAGCAGCAATGCATCACTCCCTCATCATGAAGGAGAGCAGCAATGCATCACTCCCTCATCATGAAGGAGAGCAGCAATGCATCACTCCCTCATCATGAAGGAGAGCAGCAATGCATCACTCCCTCATCATGAAGGAGAGCAGAAATGCATCACTCCCTCATCATGAAGGAGAGCAGCAATGCATCACTCCCTCATCATGAAGGAGAGCAGCAATCCATCACTCCCTCATCATGAAGGAGAGCAGCAATGCATCACTCCCTCATCATGAAGGAGAGCAGCAATGCATCACTCCCTCATCATGAAGGAGAGCAGCAATGCATCACTCCCTCATCATGAAGGAGAGCAGCAATGCATCACTCCCTCATCATGAAGGAGAGCAGCAATGCATCACTCCCTCATCATGAAGGAGAGCAGCAATGCATCACTCCCTCATCATGAAGGAGAGCAGCAATGCATCACTCCCTCATCATGAAGGAGAGCAGCAATGCATCACTCCCTCATCATGAAGGAGAGCAGCAATGCATCACTCCCTCATCATGAAGGAGAGCAGCAATGCATCACTCCCTCATCATGAAGGAGAGCAGCAATGCATCACTCCCTCATCATGAAGGAGAGCAGCAATGCATCACTCCCTCATCATGAAGGAGAGCAGCAATGCATCACTCCCTCATCATGAAGGAGAGCAGCAATGCATCACTCCCTCATCATGAAGGAGAGCAGCAATGCATCACTCCCTCATCATGATGGAGAGCAGCAATGCATCACTCCCTCATCATGAAGGAGAGCAGCAATGCATCACTCCCTCATCATGATGGAGAGCAGCAATGCATCACTCCCTCATCATGAAGGAGAGCAGCAATGCATCACTCCCTCATCATGAAGGACTGCAGCAATGCATCACTCCCTCATCATGAAGGAGAGCAGCAATGCATCACTCCCTCATCATGAAGGAGAGCAGCAATGCATCACTCCCTCATCATGAAGGAGAGCAGCAATGCATCACTCCCTCATCATGAAGGAGAGCAGCAATGCATCACTCCCTCATCATGATGGAGAGCAGCAATGCATCACTCCCTCATCATGAAGGAGAGCAGCAATGCATCACTCCCTCATCATGATGGAGAGCAGCAATGCATCACTCCCTCATCATGAAGGAGAGCAGCAATGCATCACTCCCTCATCATGAAGGAGAGCAGCAATGCATCACTCAAGCATCACTCCCTCATCATGAAGGAGAGCAGCAATGCATCACTCCCTCATCATGAAGGAGAGCAGCAATGCATCACTCCCTCATCATGAAGGAGAGCAGCAATGCATCACTCCCTCATCATGAAGGAGAGCAGCAATGCATCACTCCCTCATCATGAAGGAGAGCAGCAATGCATCACTCCCTCATCATGAAGGAGAGCAGCAATGCATCACTCCCTCATCATGAAGGAGAGCAGCAATGCATCACTCCCTCATCATGAAGGAGAGCAGCAATGCATCACTCCCTCATCATGAAGGAGAGCAGCAATGCATCACTCCCTCATCATGAAGGAGAGCAGCAATGCATCACTCCCTCATCATGAAGGAGAGCAGCAATGCATCACTCCCTCATCATGAAGGAGAGCAGCAATGCATCACTCCCTCATCATGAAGGAGAGCAGCAATGCATCACTCCCTCATCATGACGGAGAGCAGCAATGCATCACTCCCTCATCATGAAGGAGAGCAGCAATGCATCACTCCCTCATCATGAAGGAGAGCAGCAATGCATCACTCCCTCATCATGAAGGAGAGCAGCAATGCATCACTCCCTCATCATGAAGGAGAGCAGCAATGCATAACTCCCTCATCATGAAGGAGAGCAGCAATCCATCACTCCCTCATCATGAAGGAGAGCAGCAATGCATCACTCCCTCATCATGAAGGAGAGCAGCAATGCATCACTCCCTGATCATGATGGAGAGCAGCAATGCATCACTCCCTCATCATGAAGGAGAGCAGCAATGCATCACTCCCTCATCATGAAGGAGAGCAGCAATGCATCACTCCCTCATCATGAAGGAGAGCAGCAATGCATCACTCCCTCATCATGAAGGAGAGCAGCAATGCATCACTCCCTCATCATGAAGGAGAGCAGCAATGCATCACTCCCTCATCATGAAGGACTGCAGCAATGCATCACTCCCTCATCATGAAGGACTGCAGCAATGCATCACTCCCTCATCATGAAGGAGAGCAGCAATGCATCACTCCCTCATCATGAAGGAGAGCAGCAATGCATCACTCCCTCATCATGAAGGAGAGCAGCAATGCATCACTCCCTCATCATGAAGGAGAGCAGCAATGCATCACTCCCTCATCATGAAGGAGAGCAGCAATGCATCACTCCCTCATCATGAAGGAGAGCAGCAATGCATCACTCCCTCATCATGAAGGAGAGCAGCAATGCATCACTCCCTCATCATGAAGGAGTGCAGCAATGCATCACTCCCTCATCATGAAGGAGAGCAGCAATGCATCACTCCCTCATCATGAAGGAGAGCAGCAATGCATCACTCCCTCATCATGAAGGAGAGCAGCAATGCATCACTCCCTCATCATGAAGGAGAGCAGCAATGCATCACTCCCTCATCATGAAGGAGAGCAGCAATGCATCACTCCCTCATCATGAAGGAGAGCAGCAATGCATCACTCCCTCATCATGAAGGAGAGCAGCAGTGCATCACTCCCTCATCATGAAGGAGAGCAGCAATGCATCACTCCCTCATCATGATGGAGAGCAGCAATGCATCACTCCCTCATCATGAAGGAGAGCAGCAATGCATCACTCCCTCATCATGAAGGAGAGCAGCAATGCATCACTCCCTCATCATGAAGGAGAGCAGCAATGCATCACTCCCTCATCATGAAGGAGAGCAGCAATGCATCACTCCCTCATCATGAAGGAGAGCAGCAATGCATCACTCCCTCATCATGAAGGAGAGCAGCAATGCATCACTCCCTCATCATGAAGGAGTGCAGCAATGCATCACTCCCTCATCATGAAGGAGAGCAGCAATGCATCACTCCCTCATCATGAAGGAGAGCAGCAATGCATCACTCCCTCATCATGAAGGAGAGCAGCAATGCATCACTCCCTCATCATGAAGGAGAGCAGCAATGCATCACTCCCTCATCATGAAGGAGAGCAGCAATGCATCACTCCCTCATCATGAAGGAGAGCAGCAATGCATCACTCCCTCATCATGAAGGAGAGCAGCAATGCATCACTCCCTGATCATGACGGAGAGCAGCAATGCATCACTCCCTCATCATGAAGGAGAGCAGCAATGCATCACTCCTTCATCATGAAGGAGAGCAGCAATGCATCACTCCCTCATCATGAAGGAGAGCAGCAATGCATCACTCCCTCATCATGAAGGAGAGCAGCAATCCATCACTCCCTCATCATGAAGGAGAGCAGCAATGCATCACTCCCTCATCATGAAGGAGAGCAGCAATGCATCACTCCCTCATCATGAAGGAGAGCAGCAATGCATCACTCCCTCATCATGAAGGAGAGCAGCAATGCATCACTCCCTCATCATGAAGGAGAGCAGCAATGCATCACTCCCTCATCATGAAGGAGAGCAGCAATGCATCACTCCCTCATCATGAAGGAGAGCAGCAATGCATCACTCCCTCATCATGAAGGAGAGCAGCAATGCATCACTCCCTCATCATGAAGGAGAGCAGCAATGCATCACTCCCTCATCATGAAGGAGAGCAGCAATGCATCACTCCCTCATCATGAAGGAGAGCAGCAATGCATCACTCCCTCATCATGAAGGAGAGCAGCAATGCATCACTCCCTCATCATGAAGGAGAGCAGCAATGCATCACTCCCTCATCATGAAGGAGAGCAGCAATGCATCACTCCCTCATCATGACGGAGAGCAGCAATGCATCACTCCCTCATCATGAAGGAGAGCAGCAATGCATCACTCCTTCATCATGAAGGAGAGCAGCAATGCATCACTCCCTCATCATGAAGGAGAGCAGCAATGCATCACTCCCTCATCATGAAGGAGAGCAGCAATCCATGAAGGAGAGCAGCAATGCATCACTCCCTCATCATGAAGGAGAGCAGCAATGCATCACTCCCTCATCATGATGGAGAGCAGCAATGCATCACTCCCTCATCATGAAGGAGAGCAGCAATGCATCACTCCCTCATCATGAAGGAGAGCATCAATGCATCACTCCCTCATCATGAAGGAGAGCAGCAATGCATCACTCCCTCATCATGAAGGAGAGCAGCAATGCATCACTCCTTCATCATGAAGGAGAGCAGCAATGCATCACTCCCTCATCATGAAGGAG